TCATATACTCTGAATTTTTTTACACACAGGAATACATGGAGCATCACAAGTGGGCACTCAGACACATCCATGGACCACCTTGATGGCTAAAATATGCCTCAGAATTTTAATTTAGTTCTACAATTTCTCCATGATATGAATATGCAGTTTAGGGGCTAAGGTTTCTTAGGAGATGAGTTTTTCCTCACACGAAGAAAAGACAGAAGAGGAAAAGTCTGGCTATTCTGCCTCATGTCTTCTGGAGCTATATATATGCACATGCCCCTCTGTCCACAGGGCTCTCTGTGAAGGCACAGCCTGGCTCCAGGACTGTCAATTTTTTTGCAGAAAAATTCCCATGTGATAAGCTTGCACAGGCAGCAGGGTGGTCTGATCTTACCTGAAGTTCATAGCACAGCAGCCATATACTGTTTATATGAAATAACAGTAAGATTATAGAAAAGGTGAGAGGTGGTTTTCCCTTGTCTATTAATTGAGCAAGCCAGGTGTTTTAATCCCTTTTACAATGTATTTCTAAGCAGAACATATTACTTGTCGGCTACTAAATACTTTAATGGTGTATTCTCATACCTCAATAACAGCCAGTCCAAAGGCGATCCCCATAATTATGACCAGATGGTCTTTAATGTATTTGACAATCACTTCTCCACAAGGCTGAAATTAAGACAAAATGATTAATTACAGGTAAGCAATATTATCCTAATATTATTCTAATACTACAAATGCATCTGCTAAAATAACTCTCCCATGCTTTCTCTCTTTAACTCAGTGTTAAAGAAAGGCTATTTGCATTTACTTTGGCTTGTTGCTAATGAAAACAAAGAACACAGCTATGTGTACCTTATGCTCTGAGAAAGATATCTAGTCATTGCCTTCCCAAATACGAAGATTAATTCAGTAGCTGACCATAAAAAGATAAAGTTTCAAACAAAGACCATTGTAATGCCTAATGTTTGCATGATTTTCAGTTAACAAGGAAAGAAGTGTTTCTTCTTACTTTCACTTCATAAGCATTCACTGCTAGGAAAGAGCCAATGCAGCCATGACCAGATCGGAAAGAGAACTTAATTTTACCACCAATCTGATCTTTGGATTTGAAACTTGAAGGATTATTATTAGAGTCAGGCTCAACTAAAAATATTTGGTCATAAAAACTGGCTTGAAAATTAATTTTGTCAAATGTTTGATGGCCTTGGGCTGGTTGTGGAAGCAAGAGAGTGATCATAACTGAAGTTCTATGCAGAACTACTCTCCTTTTGAATATATGCATATATTTGTTAAAATAACTACATCTTCTCCAGGCATTGACAATACTTCTGCACACTGTAATGAAACCCAAGTACAGCTTAAATTCATCAAAATTATATTACTGCTACACTACAGCTACCTTTCCCCTGAATATAGTTATATTCTTTCACCGTATTTCCTGCCTCACAATAGAAGAAGACCCGTATCTTCTCGTTTATCTAAAAAATGCTCTCATTTAAGCCGACTCAGAATTGCACAGACCTTCAAATTTTTTTTTCCCAGATCACAAGAGTTGGATGTCTTTACTATCGTCTCACACTACTATGAAATCTTTGAGTTCATATGAACAACATCTTGCACCTGCCGAATTTCAGTGATGGCTTCTCATGTGTCTTTTGAGGGTTTGCCCAAGGCCAAAAATGTGGCCAAAACAGCCCCTCTGTATACATCTTGTTTCCAGATTGGGTTCTGGCATCCTCTACTTAACCAGACTGTTCCTTTGCTTTAAAAAAGTATTTGCTTCTGTGGGACTACTCAGGGAGGAAAATGCTGTTCAGGCAGAACCTGACTAAAGAGCTGGGCATTTACAGCACAGTACAACCAGAATGGACATCAGCTGATGTCGGCTTTATGGTTGATGCACACTGGCAAACTTTGCACTACTAGCATCTTAAAAATTAAATTATTTTGTGAACTTTTTTTTTCCTTATTTTTTTTTTTACATATGCATAGAACCCAAGTTTCCTTGTAAGGAGACAGGTAAACCTTGAAATGAACTAGCTGAGATCTTCACTGTCCACCTACCAATTTCTGAGTATGCTTTCTCGTTGCCTGTCATCAGATATTTTTGTCTTACTAATTGATACAAGGTTTTCAAAAGGCTGTAGTTGTAGGAAAGCACATTTTAAGTGTGTTACCATGAAGCCTATAACATGTAAGTTTTCTTTCCAGCAGATCCTGCAAAATGAGCATGGGTTTTTTTATTAAAGGTTATAAAACTCCAAAGGTCTTGCATTTAATGAGCTCATTTTTCAATATCCCTTAGCAGTTTGAAAGTCTCTGAGTCAACATATCTACTACCAGAAGGAGCCTGGGTGGGAATATAACCTTCTGAGGTAGGAATGAGAGCCAAAGGGTAGCTGACATGCTACTCTGACCCAGAGGTACATCCTGGCCTCAAAGCCATAATAGTGTTCACCAGTCGTAACCATGCAGACTGTTGAGGAAACCCAGGAAGAGAGAGGAGCAGAGTATTTCATGTATTCACAGTAATTTTTTGACAAATGGCACAGAGGCATCTGGATAAAGAAAATTAAACAAAACTTTGCTCTTTTGGACAGATACAGAACTGCTGAGTATGCCAGTCACAAAGACAACCTTGGGCTAAAACTTTGCTTTTCGCAAAGAAGATGGAACATTACATTTTTCTTACCGTTTTATAGATCTCTCTGCCTTGATAGATAGTGCAAACATCTTGTGATGACTTCTCTAGTTCGCACTGACAGATTTTATAGCTACCGGAAGGGTTGTTAAAATTGTTTCCCCAGTCTTCAGCTCCTTTCAGCAATCCACAACATCGGTTCTGCAAGAAAGGAGGAAATGGGGAGATGAGGAAAAAAACTAGTGATTTTCGGTTTGAGGAGAGTAGGTGAGAGAGCTGAGAGGAACAATGAAGGACAAATTTTCTTTCATCTTTTACCATGTGGAAGTTGACCCAAATTGGTATGTCGCAACCACCCTTTACTTTTGGTGTGACTCTTTGGGATGGTCCTGTGCAAGGCTAAGAGCTGGGCTCAATGATCCTTGTGGGTCCCTTCCAGCTCAGCATATTCGGTGATTCTGTGATTTCCATACCAGTTATAAGAATGAAAAAAAAAA